GTCTCGAATGACTGCATCTCCGGCCTTCACTCTATGCCGAGCTCGTTCCAAACGAAAGTGCCATTGGAACCCTCCATCCGAAGTTTGTCGACTTGTTTTTGGAATTCATCAATGATGGTCTCCGGCTTAGCTAGGGTTTCACCATCTTGTTCTCGTAATTTTTGAAAGGACTCTCCAGGTCAGTAACTATTTCCTCGTCTTGCCCCTGCAACCCTTGCCTCCGAGTATTCTTTGATCACGGTTGGACTTCTGAGCTTTTTGTATCTTTGTATTATAACTCCTTTGTCCATTAATGCAGATTATTTATGTTTAACAAACACATTTTTGGTGGATCAACACCTCGTTTAAATGATGCGAATGATGAAAACAAAACAAAAGAGAACAATTAATGAAAAAGGTTAGTGATGTGAAAATAATAAAAAGCAATCATGAAAATAAAAGTCCTACCCACATGATATCTACCCGAACATGCTTAATATTCCTACCCGGACATGATTTCTATCCCACATGCTAATTTCAAACAAATCCTAACCGCATATTTGTCTAGTTCGCATGCTTTGAACAGAAAATAAAGCATGAAACAAAATAGCCTAGGGTTTGGAATGAGGTTTTGGGGTGGGCTCTAATTCTCTGTACTCTCCCGGTTTAGGTTCTAAAAAGGTACTCGAGTTCTCCTTGCTGGTGCCCCCTTGGGCTTGCCAGACCCTTAGTCCTAAGCCTATTACAAGCTTGTGTGGACTAAGTTAAACTCGAGAGGACACATTCCCTTATGCCCGCACGGTGAATAAATTCACACGAAGACATAAGGTATATGAATCCCGAAGGCTACTTGCTAGGCATATGCGGTGAATAAATTCACACGAATGCGTCGCTTTCACCCCCACTTAAAACGGGTTCGGAGCTCGGGTATAGAGCCTTAAATGGAAAACTTTAAAAATCTGAAATCATTGAAAAAATGTCAGTACAACTATTTATTTCAAAAATAATCAAAGGTAACTAATTGGAATCGAATAAATAAATTTAAATTTAAATTTACTATTTTCGCATAAAAAGACAACTGAAAATTAATTCTGGCCTGACTCACTTACCGGTCCCCAGCGGAGTCGCCAAGCTGTCGTAACCGTCTTTCGGTTGGGTCCCGGAATTGGGCTTCGACTTGAAAATGTGGATTGGAGTCGCCACCGACCACTTTAAAACGAATTTAGGTGGGCCGGACACCATCTTACCTGATCTGCGTTGTACCAGAAACGTATCGAGTTCGGAAGTCGGTTACGGTCAAGGAAGGATTAGCACCCTTGAACCGCCCTTTCGGTACCAATTAATTTGTCGGTTGTCTTTATAGCAAAAACTAGACATTTAAATTAAAATTTAAAAAATTCGATTCAAATTACTTACCTTTGATTTGTTGGAATTTATCTACAAAATTAAAAATGTTAGTGAAGACAAATGAAAGAAATTTTTAATAAAAATAGATATAAAAAATATTAAATAAAAATGAAATAAAGAAATAGTAAGAGGTAAATAATAATAAATATATAAAAAAAATAAAAACAAATGTACGAAATTGGAAATAAAAAATGAAAAGAAATGAATAAATAAATAAAAGGGACCAATTTGGAAGGAAATGTAATTAGGGGACAATATTCGAATTAAATGGGTGAACGTAAATTGAAACAAAATACGGGGGACCTGAAACGGGATTAACCCGCAGATAAAAATGCAAAACCCCCCCCCCTCTTCACAACGACGTCGCATGGGGGGGTATATATCTACCAAAAACGGCCCAGAACCCCTCCCCTGTTCTCATTTCTCACTCGGGTCTCTCTCTCAAACGAGAGAACTGAATCTCTCTGGCCTCTCTCCTCAAGGCGATTTCCGGCCGCCCCTCCGGTGGCCCCTCGTTGCTCCGACCGCCGTTTCGGCCGCCGCTCGCGTCGGCCGAAAAACCAAGACTCACCCCAAACGCTCGTCTCACTGCCCCCAACCCGAAACTGAAACCTAAACACTCAAGAAATCCCCCCACCGGCGTAGATCTACGCTTAAAGCCTCGTCTTTTGCCTTTCTCGTCGGTGGCTTTTCGACTTCCAGCGTGATCTGGTTATTTACTAGTTTTGCTCTCCTTGCATGTGGGTTTTGAAATGTTTTTTTTGTTTCGTCTTTGGTTGGTTTCGTAGTTTTTCGTGGGTACTGTTGTTGTTGGCTTTCTGTGGGTTATGTGTGGTGGTTGATGTTTACCGTGTTCGGTATTGTGGATTCTCTGTCTCGGTTTACTGTTTCTGTTGATGATCTTTGTTCTCTGTTTGGGTATTGATGATGTCCTCCACACCGTGGGTACCCTCCCCTCTGCATGGCCTAACCGGGGGCTTTTTATAGCCCCGGTGTTGGCCGTTCAGGTTCCGAGATGAGCGGGATCGTGGTGGGTTGTTGCCGAGTACCTCGGGATGGTTCAGTCCCGGGGATCTCGGCCGGACTCTTCTGGCCGTTTGGCATGACTGGCCGTTTGGCATGACTGGCCGTGTTGGTTTCCCATACGGCGCAGTGCTGTGAGACATGTGGGAAACCCTAAGGGTCTTGGGCTGGTTCAGGCCCAACTACTTGACCTGTGCACTGGACTGGATTCTTGGACCTGTACAAACACCCAAAAACGATAAAATAAATAATAAAAACAAAACAAATAATAAATAAAAAAGAATAAAATACTATATGATAAAAAATGTTTTAAAACTTTATATAATATATATCTCAAAGATATTTTCAAAATCATATATTATATAAATTTAAAAACGTTTTAAAACTATATTATATGTTTCAAAAAAAAATTTCAACTATATATTATATAAATTTCAAAATGATTTTAAAACAATTTATTATATAAGTTTTCAAAATGGTTTAAAAAACTATATAATATATATGGTTTCAAAAATATCTTCAAAAACTATATAATATATATGTTTTCAAAAAAATGTTTTTAAAACTATAATATATATGTTTTCAAAAATGTTTTCAAAAACTATATATATATATATATAAGTTTTCAAAATGATTTTAAAAATTATATATTATATATATTTTCTAAAATGTCTTTTTTAAAACTATATATTATATAGTTTTAAAAACTATTAAAAACTATATATTATATACGTAGTTTCAAAATATGTATATATATATAAATATGTAGGTACATATAAAGGGGGAAAAAATGTGTCGACGAAAATTAGTGTCTACAAATGGCTTGCTGAAACTTGGATAAACGAGTGTTTTTACACTATGTTTGGATTCAATTTTGCATGGAACATGCATGTCTTACGTGGATACTTTATCTTTCTTTACGGGGGCTCGTTGTTCCAGTTGTACATGATGCCGAGAAAATGAATTTTGCTGAGATTGAGAAGACAATCAACAATCTCGCAAAGAAGGCAACTGATGGGACCATATCAATTGATGAAATGGCTGGAGGCTCATTTACAATATCCAATGGTGGTGTTTATGGAAGTCTATTGAGTACCCCCATTATCAACCCTCCTCAGGTTAGTGCTTACAAACTGAATATAAATGCATTTACACTAGCGACTCATCTGTTAATTTTCACTTTCAAAGCTTGAGCTCAATTTGAGATAAAAATCGAACTGTTTGAGCTCACTTAATCAAACTAGTTTATCTGGTAGAAAAGAGCTTGATTTTAAAGTCGATTATTTATATTCGAACTTGAGTTTGAATTAGCTTTTTCAATACTTTTAGAAATAAAAAGCTCGACTAAATTCCTTAACTGCTCAAATGAAATATCCTAATACTCGAATTGGAATTGCTCGATAGGTTGAATTGTTCAATCTTAAACTCATCTTGACAGTGAGTTGATTTCGAGCCCCTTTTTTTTTTGGTTTTCTAAAGTCAAACACAAGCGTTTCGTTTATACCCTTAATTGTGAATAGAATCTTAAATGCGTAAACAAATGGTTTTTGGCAGTCGGCGATCTTGGGTATGCACTCGATAGTGTCCCGACCAATGGCTGTTGGAGGTAATGTAGTCCCGAGACCGATGATGTACATTGCACTAACTTATGACCATAGGCTGATTGATGGAAGAGAGGCCGCCTTCTTCTTTCGTCGTATCAATGATGTTGTCGAAGACCCTCGCAGGCTGCTACTTGATGTATGAACTGCGAAGTCCTAATTGGTAAGATTCCATGGTTTCTATAGCACATTTAGCTCTTGATTTTATACACATCGTATTTAAAAAAGAAGAATAAATGCCTCAAGTTTTCGTAGGGCTTCATTTTTTTATTCACCTTTGATAATGAGTTTGGAAATTGCGGATGGCCATTGTTGAACCATAAAATATCTCAGTATTTTAATTACACATTTCCAGTTTTTGTTGTGAAACATGTTTTTCCAAGTTTTTAAATTTTTGTTTGAGACAAATGTATGATCAGGAGTTGGATGTTAATTCGCAAAAAGGGTTGATGCAGTCAATTGACAATGAATATAAACGTACATATATCTTATATACGTAGTTGATGAATCAAGAATTTTTAAGGATAATCTTACAACCATCACTCTTAGTGGGTAATCTGTAAATTTTTATGTAAATCTCAATTGGATCTTAGGTATGTCCCGGTGTTTGACTAGGAGAGTCACTCCTGACCTAAACTTTTAGCAACAAAAAAAATTAATTCTCACAAAAGTTATTCCTACTTTTTAATTATACTAATTTAATCTTTTAAACTTATTGAATTAAATCAATCGCATCCTTTGATTAATGGAATTTATCCTTATGATATTTATTATTAATTATTATGATATAGACGTGACAATATTATATTATTATGTTAACTTATAATTTTCATATTTATACAAATAATTATCAATCATACGTTAAACTCTTGAACGCATTTCTTTCTCTTCCTAATTGAAATTATATTTTAGATGTGGAGAACGAAAATAAAATCATTTTGAGAGAATGAACTTTAATCATTCAATAAATTTAGTAACCAAGAAATAAAATTGGGAAATGACAAATTTGGTCATATGAATGAAGCTGAAGCCACAAGTAATAAGATTACATGAGAAAGCATCTATTAGATTGTTTTGGTAACGACAAACCGGGTGAAAACTGAAAAAGAAAAAGTCAGCGCTTGCTATAAGGTCGCCATTAACATAGCTCGGATTTTGGCTCTTAAATCATTAGAAATCGTGGTGGTAGCAGATGGCATGGATGAAGCCCTTCCCTCCGCCTCATCCGGGATCGGGTTCGATATATCCGCAGAAGCTTCCCTACTAGCAACATTACCCTCGCTCAACTTAGATTGATCTGATTTTGCATAAATCTCTCCTTCCTCCAATGCTGCTTCTCTTCCTGCGTGAGATCTCCTCCTTTGATGATGGTACTCATCATCGGAGGACCTATGGTGCTTATATCGGTGTCTAGAGCATCGATACTCATCCCCAGAGGAGTTTTCATGCTTGTGCCAGTGCTCACCCTCGAACGAACCACTATGCCTATTTCCGCATCCTGGCCTACTGTGTTCAGTGTCTAAAGTGGTATATCTCTTCCGTTTGTGTCGAGAATGATGATGGTCGCTATCAGAGTTGTCAGACTTTTGACTTCGCTCATCATCGATGCTACTATCATGCTTATGCCGATGTCGAGAATCTCTATGCTTTGAAGAGGAATGCCTTTCCCTATGCTTCCGCCTATCCCTACTATGGTGATGCGATCTCCGCTTTTTACTGGAGTGCCCGTCCCTTACTTTCTCTTCTTTTTCTTCTTGTTCCACCTCCTCCTCCTGACCGCTATCTGTTTCATGTCTTTTTGATCTAGAACGGTACTTCCGCTTTGATTGCCGTTCATTATGATCAATACCAGAATTCATCTCTTCATGCTTTTCATTTTTATCGCAAGTATTAACATCCGATGCAACTTGGCTGCCTTCCCTTTCTTTTCCGAGTCCACTCTCAACACCAGAACCGCAAACCCCCAAGTCAGGTGGTTCAGCAGATAAACCACTCAATGCTTCAGTTTTATGCGGTGCAGAACCACTTTTGATCATGGCTGCAAACATCTTTGCCCGTTTTAATCGCTCGGCTTTCAACTTCTCTTCTTTTGTCAAACATGCCTCGGAGGAATCAGCCTCACTTGCAGCTACAATAGCTGCTGTCTTTGCAATTGCATTGGCAACAGGACCGGAAACACTTGCCTCACCTTTATGCCCTGCCTTCTGCTCAGAACTTTGAGGCTGAGACGAACGGGAACTACCAAAATTTGGGGCATGCCCGGCCTCACTGGTCGGAACCTGGCTGCTACCATTTATCGATGTCTTTGAGAGAACCTCTAGGTTAGGTTTCTTAATGCCTCTTGTGGCAACCTGAAGAATAGCAGCTGCGGCAGCTGCATCCACACTAACTCCAATTTGTGGCTGGGCAGCTTTGGAAGGGGGATCTTGTCCATCCTTCTTTGATTTGTTGATTACCATTTTAAACTTCTCTTTCCTATCTGAATTATACGGTATGCCAGATCCAACAGATGCACTATCACTTTCTCGGGACGAAGCAGCTTTCTTCTCTACACCACAGCCAGATGAATCATGCTTCATGGAAACAAAAGCTTTACCAGGTAATTTTGACTGCAAAAAAAAATTGAAAGTGAAGTATTGTAACTTAGAATTGAAGATAGAACCAAAGAGGCGAAGAATATGCTATCATGATGTAATCAGAGCACAATCACAATCAAATGTTAATGAATATGCAATACCAAAACAATTATAAGAACAGAAAAAGTTCAACCTATTTTATCCCATTGAAAAGTGAGAAACATACCTTTTTGGCATTTTGAAGAGCTTCTAAATAATAAGGGTGATACAGATTGGATGGCAACAGAAAAGGAAACCTCCCATGCTTAACATCTTGTTCAACCAGAACTGCTTCAAACTGTCTACCATTCCTCAGTATGAATTCGACAATCTTATCAACCACTCTCTTTAAATCTGATGGGGGCTCCACGACAGGTAATTCAACCTTCGATGTGGGTGGCAAAGAAGAAGCTCGTGATTTCTCAGCTGCAGAGGCATCACTTTCTTTCTTCAACCCAGTCGTCGTTCCAGCCTTAACTGTTGTTATCAATTGATTTCCTTTTATCACAGAAGCCTTTTCCTTTAAAGGAGCTGAATGCTTAGTCACCGTATCATATTTTCTATTAACACTTAAAGAAGATTCTTTCTGCTCTGGTCCATCAGTTGATGCTTTATCAATAGCAACCCCAGTTCTCACAGATTCCGTTCTCTTAACTTCAGTAGCATTTTCCGTTTCAACATCCTCATCTTCTCCGGAACCATATACAGTACCAAGCAAAGATAAAGCACCGCCTCTAACACTTGCCTGATCATGTGCACCATCAGCTTTGCCCTCCTCATCGACAGAATTGCTGCTCAGAAGTTCTTGGTGATCAACAAGAAACCTAAAGTATGGGTGAAGAGGATGGTCCGGCATCAAGAAGCCAAATGTTGGGTTGTCGCCCTGTTTGACCCTCAAAACAATCTCCGATTGTCCACCATGTTTGCTTACAAATAACGCCGTCCTTGCTATAATCTGATGTAATTTCTCCGTAGGAGGCTAAAGAAAAGATAGAAAATAACAAAAACAAAAATTTTCAAGTCAATAGTGAGAAACTTAACAATTGTGAAATCCAAGAGTGATTGAAAACTTACAATTAATCCCAAAGAATTAAAACTGAAAAAAAGAAAACTACAGAATCTCACATATATTCAGATAAGCACAAAGATCAAGAAATAAAGAACTCCTAGGAAGATATGTATCATCCCATTTGCTCAAGTGAATAAGGTTCCTGTAAGGTAACAAATTTCTATCATTCTAATCCCACCTGCAGGCACCCTTGTCATGACATCAAAAGGAAAAAAGAACTGCATCTGCGCTCCAAGCATCTGAAACTTAGACATCGTAAGCCTTAGAATAACACACGCACCTTACTCAACTATCAGACCGCCACATTGGATAAGTATCGACAAACAATTATATCTATATTATACAAAAAGTAAAAGATATAGTTTAAGATGAGCATGTACTTACTAGGTTTTGAAGTAAGGTTTTGGGCACAAGAAAGGGTGGCTGAAAACTAGACTCCACATCAGAATCCTTTAGCCCATTGGATTCACCAGTGTTTCCATATGAAAAGGAAACAGCATTATATTGATCACCAGAAGCAGGAGGTCCCTCATCATTATCTCCATATGGAAGCAAAATAAACCAGAATCAGAATCATATTTAAACAAAGATATTATACAATCATCATGTTAGAAACACATGGCAAACAGCACCAACAACAAGCATAAAAAAGAAACTGGCCAGGATACGCTAGAGTAAGGTAAGAATATTCTTACTTGTCTCCCCGAAACACGTAACTGTTGCAAACTAGATTCCTTCCTGCAACCTTGGAAAAGCAGTACAAGTACAGCACATATAATGTTCATGCAAACTAGAAAGTGAATCACCCATTGCTCAGCACAATACCACTATCCAAAATCAACTAATTTTTTTTATTGTTTCAACAATCCAGAATGAAAAGGCAAGGCAAGCACCAAAGACTGGTAATTCATGCCACAGGTTAACTTTCCTTAAACATCTTTCGAAACTCAAAACCCTAATAGCCAATACAGCTTTCTATATAAACAAAACGAAATATTATCTACTCTAAGTCTCTAACAGTAACAGGAATCATATGGTTTATTTAAGATGTCATGATTTTGTTAGAACAAACACAAGTTCAAACATAAGAATTGAATTCATCTGCTTCTTCATAGATATTTTCCCACAAACAATGTTGAAGCACAAAACCCTCAACAGTGACATGAACCAAGGAATTAAACAATCAAAGATTCTACTTAGCTCATATATTATACAAAAAAACGTAATAGAACGCTCTATTTTCCTTCCCACTAACACCTATCAGTAACAAAAGCTAAATAAAACACAATCTAACAGAAGCTAAGGAACTGTTTGGTCGCCACTCTTATTAAGAAAATGGATAAAAACAGCAAATCTCGAATATAAAGTTCTTTATTAAAGTAAAATGATTTTTTTTTGTTATTAGAAAGGTTAAATTTTTAATTTTTTATCCAAATGAAGCCTAAAGATTGAAATGATACTAATATTAATTTCTTAATTCACTAAAAATCTCATAAAAAATATCACAAGATAGCTCATTTTAATAATTACGGAAGGAATAAAATATTTGCATAAATCTAACCTTTGTTTAAACTTTTTTAAAAAAAAAGGAAAACAACTGTTTATCGTTTCTCACCTTGATGATCGGACAGCGAGGTAGAGGGAGGCAAATCGAGGTAACGCTCACGGTCAAGATCGGACTCCATCGTATCACCGGCGGTTTCGGATGGAGAGGAAAGATGGCGCCTCCTCTTACGACGGGAGGGAAGAGGTCCGGACAGAAGGTGGCGAACATCGTATCGGTCGATGGAGAGAGAGTTCCAGTCGACGAGAGCCTCCAGAGAGTTGACGAACGACGCCATGGCGTCATCGTCAAAGAGAAGCGCGTGGCGGCCCACCACCTCTAGATCCATCGGGGTTACGATAGGATTTGTTTAGAAATTTTGGATTTACTAAAAAGCGAAACGAGAGAGTTTTTTTTTCTTTTCCTTTTTTTTCCTGAACGAGAGGTTTTGCTTTTCAAGGCTAAGGAGAACCGTGTTAATTTACCTCTAAAAAGAACAATTGTTAGTAGGAGCTACGGGTGTAAACGAGTCGAGTTCGAGTATTGTTGAGTTTGACTCGACTTGAAAATTTTGAAATAGAGCTCGACTCGACTCGAAAATTCGCGAACTTAAAATTTTCAAGCTCGACTCGAACTCGAAATTCTGAACTGAAGCTCGTGAGCAGCTCGAAAAGGCTAAAAATTAAAAAAAAAATTCTTAAACTTAACTCGATTGAAGCCTCAAACTCAAACTCGAACATGAACCTTAAATACATGAAATCTTAATGTATTTTTAAAAAAAAATCAATACATAAATATTATTATTATTATTAATTTATTTTTTTTAAATAAAATCTTAATATATTATATTTTCGAGCTGCTCACGAGCTTTTCGAGTCGAATATCGAGTAGCTCGTTTCAGCTCGTTAAGAACTCGAGTCGAGCTCGAGTAGAGTCCATTCGATCCGAGTATTTATCGAGCCTTGATCAAGTCGATCTCGAATAGCTCGCGATCTGTCTCGTCTCATTTACAACCCTAGTAGGAGCCCTTGTAATAATTATTAGGTCAAACCACATGTTTAATAACCTGACTATCATTGTGGTTTCATTTTGATCATTTAATTACTTTTTAAAATCGTACTTAATATTAAATTTTAGTTTTGTTTTAGTCATCCGTTGTTAAAATTAAATATAACTGTTGATGTGGTAATTTTTTATTTTTATTTTTTTGAGTGATGATGTGGTATTATCTTATAGTACATATCAACATCACCGTAAATTTTTTAACAATGAGTGATCAAAGTGTAAATTTAGGTATGGTTTATAAAAATATAAATAAATAGGTGACCAAAATGAAACTTAAGTAATATTTGGATGATTAAATACATAATTTACCCTAAATATTATATATATTTTATAGGTGTTTTAGACACTAAAATTTGGAAATAAGACGAAAAAATAATTTAAAAAATATAAGTGTGAGAATTATTTTTGAATCTAGTTCATTTATAACAGTGTACGTGAAATTTATTATGAGAGTGATGAGTTTCATAAAATATATTTAAAAAATAGAGCTCTTCAATGAATCGAAAGAAAATTATATAAAACTTGTCATGAGGATATGACAAGTTCTAATTGTTTATTATATTTTATAAAACTCGTCATTTTCTCGTAACAAGTTCCTTCTAAACCGTAACAAATGTCCTAAATCATAAAATAATTCCCAAATACTAGTGTTCTTTAAAAAATTCTGCGTGGATTAATTAGCCAACAAGGTCTATTTCGGATGATAAATTTTAAATATTTTTAAAATATTAATGTTTTGAAGTGATGCGTTCATGCACTTTATATATTTTTAAAATTTAATCTTCTTACATTTGTTTATGAGCATTTAATAATAATTAAACTTGAATTTTTAAATTTAGAAAATAGAGAAATTAAATTTTTAAAATAAAATACAAGTATGAAATTTCAAATATATTAAGAGTATAGGGGGTTGAAGCATATTTTTAACCTAAATGAAAGGTTACGAGTAATTTTGAAAAACGAATTTGAATAATAAATTTGACAAGCATATTTCTCTTTTTTTTAAATGTGGTAACTTTTGAAAATTTTCATCAGTTTTATTTAAATAAGTATTTTTAATAGAAAAATCGATAAGAAAAATATAATTTATCCTCGTGATTTCTTCTCCAAACATAGTTTTAATTTGCTTAAATAACCTAACTTTTAAATAAAATTAAAATATTTTTTACAATAATATTATATTTTTTTCATCCCATAAAATTATAAATAATTAATATATTGAATATTAAAAAAATAAAATATTTTTAAATTTTCAAATTTATTAATATTTTAATAAATCAAACTCTTTGTATATTATTACAATGTTTATAATTTTGAGTAAAGTGCAAACAAATAAAAATCGAGAAGAATCATTATAAAAAAATTCATTAGTTCAAAGGTATTCTTATTCAAAGTGGTTGGAATTGTATAATACCTAAGAATTTGAAAATAATGACATTCACACTATTTTAACTAAAAAATGTTACCATTTACAAAAGAGTATTCCCTTATAATAATCTTTTATGTGAACTAAATATGATAATGCAATTTCGGAAAAGATTATTCCCTTTAGTAATGATTTTTTCCGCAAATCAAATGCCCCGAAAATATATTCAAAACACAGCAGCACCAAGAATTCTTAAACATTATGCATAATTATTTCTTAAACATTATTTAATTACATTAATAATATGTTAAATATAAAATTTAGATCGAGTCTATTTGAATTTTTTTTATAGACTCTCATATCAATATTTAATATTAGACATAACATCAAAAATGTCTTTAATATTTGATCGAATAATATCTTAGATTTTTATATAAATGAAATTATTAGTCAATTAACGGTTAACGACTTGAGATAATATAACAAAATAACGTTAGATGAAACGCTGACATGGTATAATACTATAATGTCCAACTATCCAACCAAACTACGATTTTGTGTTATTATCGACACAAATTATACTTATTATAATTTTTTTATATAATAATAAAAAAGAAATTTCTTAATTTTAATGAACAATGTTTTATTGGTTGTTGCAAAGCTGCAACACTTTGTCAGCAGAACGAAGTAGCAAAGTCATGCATGAAACTCCTGTCAATTACTTCAGCATACTGTAGCTACATACAACTGAACCTTCGTCAACGGGGATGGAGAGAGGCCGCGAGTACTCGTTCCTTTTAAATTTTTTAAATTATTATATATTTTAAATAACTTTTTTGTATTATCTCTATTAATAATATATATTTATACTTATAATTTTAAAAATTCGTGGCACTCTAAAATTTTAAAAATTCATTCCTAATATCAAATTTTATGTTCCTTCATATTTGTCAAAATATATTCGACACAACATCACACTAATTAACACTATGAAGCACACTAATTAACACAATGAAGAAGACAAGATGAATTAATTCAGGTTACCAGTCGCATCAAAACATTCTAATCGACAAAGCAACAGTAGGTGAGAGAAGCATATGATTAAATCATCAAAGCCGTTCAAAAATGACCAAATCAACTAATCAGTTATTAATCAACAATAGAAAGCCAAACCAATCACTAATCAGATTGAAGGTAAATGACACTAGTTAAAAAAACAGCGTATAGACCTACAAAATAACTGAAGTAGAGTTAAAAAAATAAAAAAAAATAACTGAAATAATAACACATGTTATCGTCGTAATGGCGAGAAATATAATATAATTAAAAATATAACAGTAATTTAAATCATTGCATCCAATATATTAAGTGCACCGACACCAATTATTTACTTGGTTGAAGCTTTCAAACAATCAATTAAACAAACAATCCTACCGATGATGATGATAAGGACGATAATGGAAGGGCACTTGAAGGGTCTGGTAATAATGGATTCACCAACAGGTTTACAGCTAAGCTGAATCTTTTGTTTCCTGTTTGTTCATTGGTTTTGAATCACGTTCAATTTCTTTACAAAATCCTCAACCAGACCCTGTGTTTCTCTTACAGGATCCAACAATGTCTCCTTTTCCATTCGATTTGATCCCCGACATACTTTGTCGGCTTCCAGTGAAGACGCTTCTCCGCTTCAAATGTGTGGCCAAGTCATGGCGTTCCCTCATAGATGACCCGCATTTCGCCAAACTCCATCTCGACCACTCTTTGAGAACCAGCACCAACGTCAAGCTCTTCCTTGATAATTGTATCGAATGATGACACGGCTTATGCAGTGGATTTCGACTCTCTCGACAACTTGGTTCGATTCCCTCGCCCTTTCATGGCCGAAATCACCAAATACCGTTCGAGAATAATCCGTTCTTGCAATGGTTTACTTTACCATCGTGAACAAGGCATTGCTTTGTGGAATCCATCGACCAGAAAATGCCGTTATCTGCTGCCGTTGGACGACGATATAGCCAGGGATCATAATGCCTTACCTGGTTATGAATATGTTAAGAATCCTGTGCTTGGATTTGGGTACGATGAAATAAGTAACGACTACAAGGTGGTGAAAATGCTGAGATCCAGGACACAAAATTCCTTCAAAGTTATGGTCCAGTCTTAAAACTGATTCCTGCAAGAGAATCGACGATTGCCCTTACGATTTTCCGACGAACTACAATGACGGCGCCTACGTACAATGCCCTTCATTGGGTAGGCGATGAAATAGGGGAATTCCACGGAGGACAAGTGATCTTCGCCCTTGATCTCGCCAATGAGAAATACTATGATGTTCCTGAAGGTGACACAAGCTTCAAAATTAAAGAATGTGGCGGCGAGTGTCCGTATTTTGGGTACATGAATGCTGGGGTACTGGGGGGATGTTTATTTGTTTCTAGAGACTACTCGAATTGTCCGGTGGAGGATCATATAAATGTATGGGTGATGAAAGAGTATGGAGTGAAAGAGTCATGGACCGAACTACTTTATCTGTCTCGACTCTCGAGATCAATGGCTCACCAACATATTTCATACTAGAGCCGTGGGGTTTTCGAAGAATGTAGATAAAGTATTGCTTGATGATGGCGGAGGTAGTCAGCCTGCATGGTTCAATCTGGAGGATGAAACAGGGGAAACTCTGAGAATTGCAGGTGCACCCCAACTTGTTTCCACTGTGATTTATGTCGAAAGCCTTGTCCCTGTTTAATAATTATCAACTTTTGGCTCGATTGGAAATAAAGATTGAAGTATTGGTTAGGTCTTCTTGTAATGTTTTTTATCTTTGTCTCTGTTAGGTTTTTTGGCTTTGATTATTGATAGGAGGAAAAGAAAACGTTTGATTTACTAGTTTGTTATAAATAAAAAAATCCATGAAATTGCAGTCCACAAACAAGTTCTTCGGATCTTCATGTTCGGAGCCGCACTACGGACAACTGCATTGAGCTAGAATCATCATAATCTCCCGACTCCTAATAAAGACTTTACA